GCGTTGATTTGAATATTGAAAGTCCACCTCCAACTACTGGACAATCGGCAAATACACCTTCCAAAACACCAGTTACTCCAAATATATCAAATGTTAGAACTCCAGTCGCATCATCTGCTATAATGACTCCAGGAAAAAATATGCAGTCTCCAAATTCATCTTCCAGTTCACCAAGCATATCCAATAATATTTCTAATAACATATGCTGCAATCAATCTGGATTCAATGCAGAAACGCAACACTGGACTGCTTTAACTTACACAGCATTATTAGGACATTGTAACATTGCTAGAATATTATTAGAAAGAGGTGCAACTGTTGAAGGTGGTGCTAAATTAAGCGAAGATAAATCCACAGTTACACCATTGCAAGCAGCTACGGCATCTGGTAACTCTGAAATGGTAGCATTACTTTTAGCTCATGGAGCCCAACCATTTTTATCAACTTTGATAAAAGATTCATTTTCATATTCTGGTTCAGCTCAACGTGGTTGTTATAGGCAAGTAAAATACATGTTTATTTTAATAAAATTTTTAACATTTTAATTAAATGAATAGTTTTTGATTTTGAGGAATCAAAATAGGAATATTTTAAATAATTTTTAAAAAGATCATCATTTCATCCTATATAAAAAAAATTTTTAAGTAACTAAAATAATAAAATTAATTTATATATTTATAGTGCAATATCAGTAGCAACAGTTCATGGTCAAAGGAATTGTCTACATCAATTGTTATCTCATCCATTGAATTTCTCCGCCAAACGAGGAGAAAAAGAAGTATTGTCATTAGAAGAAATTTTGGCAGAAGGTAGTGCCAATACTAGTCCACAACAACAAACTGTAGACGGAAGAGGAAATAGAAAAGAAGGAAAAGAACCAGTTTTTAATAAAGTTCAAAATAAAGCTTTACAAGAAGCAATGTATCATAGTGCGGAAAGCAACCATTTAGGTAAAACAAATTTGAAAATGACTATTTGAAAAAAAAATTTTAAATATATCTATATAAAGAATTTTATTTAAATATAAATTCTGTAGATATTACAATGGAACTTCGTGGATTAAAAGTGGGTTGGACATTACATTGTTGGATGCATAGTTTAGCAACAGCTCATGAAATGAGATTAGATTCTATAATAGATCAATTACTTCAAGATTTTCTTCAAGTATGTCCAGATGATTATTCAACACAATTCGTACAAGAATGTCTTCCTTTATTATTCAATATTTTTAGATATAGTAAGGTAAGTCATAATTCATTTTGAATTCAATTTGATTTTAAAAAAATTACAATAAAAAATATTTTTTTATATTTTTTGATTTGTATTTTTTCTACAGAAAGAAGGTACGACGCTTCTTCTCGCAGATATTTTTTGTACATGTTTTGGATGGGAACCAATAAAACCCATTCGAGATACAACACTTTCTAGTGGATCTAGGATAGATCCTAAGTTTGTAAATAATCCAGAATTAAGCGATGTACAATTCAGAGTGGAAGGCAGAGTTTTCTATGGTCATAAAATTGTTTTAGTCACATCATCACCGAGATTTAGGAATATGTTAAGTTCGAAATTATGTGAGGGAAATCCTCCTATTGTACAAATTAACGATATTCGTTATCATATTTTTCAGGTATGTAGTATTTTAAAAAAAATTAAAAAATTTTAACTATTTAAAATTTAAATTTGTATTTTAATATTTAGATGGTTATGGAGTTTTTATATCATGGTGGTTGTGCTAAATTAGAAGTTAATCAAAGTGATGTTTTGGAATTAATGGCTGCCGCGAACTTCTTTCAATTAGATGGTTTACTTAGGTATTGTGAGGCACAATGTTCTTCGATGGTTGATCTTGATAATATCGTTTCTATGTACATTCATGCAAAGGTATTTTATTTAAATATTCTGTGTATGTAATATATGTATAATATTATAACTTTTTTTTTTTTAATAATTATTTTCAGGTTTACAATGCTATGCAACTTTTGGAATACTGTCAGGGATTTTTATTACAAAATATGGTTGCTTTATTAACTTATGATGATTCAGTAAAACGTCTATTATTTGCCAAGAAATTGCCTAATCATGATGTTCTCGCAGGACTCCTTCTTACTTTGCAAGCAAGAATAAAAGCTAGACGATCTCAGCAACAAAATAAATTAAAAACTTAGAAATATTATGTTTATATTAGTATTATCATTTCTATTTTTTTGTTGTCTTGTAATTTTCAATATATTCATGTATGATTATGATTTCGATTTTGATTTTACAAAAAAATGATACATAAGTGTATTAAGACTGAGTGTTTTATGATTCGTTTTCAAATTTTTTGTCAAATGTTTAAGTATAATTGTGTTATAATTAATATAATATTTTTATTCAAATTAGAACATGTTTCTGATTCGTATCTGTTTCATTCTTGTACAATAATTTTTGCTACATATTATAACTGTATATTAGATATTGTTCAAATCATATAAATTTCGTTGTTAATATATTATACATTATATATTGTTCAAATATATAAATTACGTTATTACAAATAAATCTTGCATTTATAAAAAATAAAAAATTTAATTTTCAAAAATAAATTTGTAATCATAAATTTTTAAATAATTATGTAAATATAAAAGTGAATATTATTATAAAATATAAAATATATATAGAATATGTTATAGAATAATAACATTAAACTATTAATATATATAATAAATATATATATATATTTATTATATATATTATGTACATAAAGTAAGCTAAAAGTTTAGTTTAAATGCATGAACACAGAAAAATGTAGTAAAAAATATTAAAGTGCTATCCTATGTATTGATAATATCATATAATTTGTACATCTCAATTACAATAAATTATAAATATTGTGATAATAAAAATATTAAACAATGATTGTTTTCAAAACTTAATAAAATTGTTTATATTTTTTTATCATATTTTTATTTATGTATAATTATTAAATAACGATCCTTATCATAAGAGTATTTACAATAGAAAAAAAAAATTTGAAACAAAAAAATTAATACAAAACTATATCATTCAATGATTTTTAAAATCTTTTATTAATATATGTTATAATATATTTCTTTTCATATTCTGTCGTTTCTACATTCAAATAAATGAAGATTGAATTTTTTAAATAAAATATTATAAACAATGTGATACATTTTAAAAGAAAAAACAAAAGAGCGAAATGTAATTCAATTTTTTAATACAATAAAGCATGATAGAATTCATTATTCTATAAAACAATTGTCATGTGTATATACGTTAACGATATAACAATATTAGTATCATATATAATGCAATTTATTTTGAATGTCAGTGGTTAGTTATATATATATACAATATTCAAGTTATAACCTTAATAATAATATAATCACACTGGATTTTTAGATTTTGGAATGCCTAATAATCATATAAGAGTCAAATCGATTCACAAAAAAACATTGAAGAAAATGGTTGTCTCAATCTTACGATAATTAATTGTATTATTTATTTTTTTTTTATTATTAATGTTGCATGCTTTACCAAAGTATACACAATCCATAATAAACAATATCATAATTCTATTAAAGAATAGTTATAAAAAATTATATATTCACAATTTATACAATTTAATTATACTTAGACTAAAATATGATGTTTTTATCATTCCTTATATGTTTATAGAAGTTTTTGTTTCAATAAAACAATAATAACTACAATAATAATATATTTTTTTTGAAAATGTGAACTTGAAAACAGTTTTGGAAAAACAATAAGTGTCTTCTATATGTTATGATAAAGATCTTGTAATACAATGCATATTTTTAATATTTTCTCTTAGTACCTGTATTCATATACATATAAAAAAGTAAAAAATCAAATACATAAAAAACATAAATCATTATTTTTTCTTTAATATCACATATTTTATATTGAAGTGACTAATCTGTAAAAGAAGTTGTATACACATATACAAATATATATTAATTTATACATAACTTTGAACATATGTAAAAAAATGAAAAGCAATAAGTAATTGATATGATTATAATTTAATTTCCACTTTAAGAATTTACATTTCTAAATTGAAATAAAAAAAAAATATAATTATATTAATTTATATAATATTAATATTAATATTTTATATAATATTAATATCATATTAATATATGATATTATTTTTATAATAAATTAACATAGCATTTTTTAATTTTATTTTATTTATTTTATTTATATATAATATAATAATAAAACATAAATTTTTTGTTATTTTGTAAAATATAATTTTTACTTATCACTTTTCATTATACTCTATTGATTAATAAAAATTGAGCAAGAGCTATAGGTAACATTTATGAGTAACAAAGTATATGTAATAGAAAATTACATTTTAAGTAAAAACATTATAAAGTAACACTTATTTGTAATGCATAGTTAAGAAAATGCAAACAAAAAATTTGTTTATAATATATTGTCTATACTAATTTTTTAATATTGATCATTTTAGTGCCACATTATTTATTTCATATATTTCTACAAATTCATATCTTATAATTACTTTATGTATTTATTTATAATTCTTTAACATTGATGTCATGAAATATTGAAAATATTTTTTAATAGAATTTTCAAGATAAATAAATAATAATTTTATTATTTTAAAAATTGTTTAATAAATAAATAATTATTCAATGATGGTAAGGATCAAATTATTGTAATTAATTAGTAGAGTATATAATTTTAATTTAAATTTTTAGTAAACAATATATGTTACCAAATTTGAAATTATAATATAACATTAATATTTTACTTAAACACTTGCTGTATTTATAATGCTGTACAATTTATTGTGAAAATAATATATAATACAATTAAAATGATTTATCAAAGATTTTGCTAAATAATAGTTTACAGGTACAACAAAATTATTTCTTTAATAATCAATATTGTGTTAATTTTTTCATGTACAAAAATAAAGATTTGTTTCTATTACAAATGTTATAAAGAATAATGCAGATATTTAATACTTTTGTACATGTAATTTTAATCTAAATTATTAAATTTTAATTGAATTAAATTAAATTATTAAATTTAAAATGAAAATAAGAAACAAATATGCAATGAATACCATCTATGTTTACAAGTTCAAAGATAAACAAAAATAATGCATTTGAATTAATCAATTTACAAATGAATATAAAATAAGTCTATCCTCTCCCCATATTGCATGTCCAATACATAAACTGACAATTTATATTTTTCCATAATATTACTTCTACAATCAGTAAAATAGATTGAGACAACCTTTTCTATTCGCTCGCAGTATCTAAGATAATTAGGAGCGCTAACTTAATTTAGTGACTAGAACAATAATTAATATAATAACGACTATGATTGCGAGTAACAATAGGACAAAAACTTTTCGTCGATATTTACTTTGGTAATTACTTGCCTTGATTAACTCTTGTGCTCCTAGTTCAACATTTCCATGTACATTTTCTATATGATTATCTATTGTATCTATAATAAAAAAGAATTATAAGAAAATTTACAAAAAAATTAAATATTTATATGGAAGCCAGAATCACTTACTGATTGTATCTCCTTGCTGATATACCAATGCTGCCAATTCACGCATTATTTGGTTCACATCCAAAATATCTCCTTCGATCCGTTTTATTCTATCTTCTCTTTCTAACAGTAACCCTTGTTGAAATTCAAGATTCCTACGCATATCAGAAAAGTGAAATTACTTGCAGATTATTTTTTCATTATTTTTTGATATAATGAATAATGTTATTTCAGAGTTTGTATTAATATGCATTAAAACAAACTTACCACACACTCAAGTGTATTTTATAACTTCTCTATATTAATAATACATGTTGCAATTATTTAATCTTTTCAGTGAAATTTTTATATTCAAGCTACTTCAATATTCATATTATAAAATCCACAAAATATGCTCATCTTATAAAAATCATGAAAAAAGCCTATTTGAATTTTGAATCTTTAATAAGATTAATAATGTTAGCCATCTCTGAACCCATTGTGTGCAGACTGTGAGAAATAGTCAAGCTTTTTTCACTATTTATATGTGCAAATATAGTTATATATTTATTTATAAGTTAATATATAGTTTACATTCAAACCTTTGTGTCACTCTGTGTTCATCCTCCTGAGCTTGAAGTAAACGTTGTTGTTCCTCTTCTTCTGAATTCATAGGATTTTCTATACTAGTTGTAAGCAAAATATGCCTCTTCATTTTTTCCACAATTGACTATAAATTTCATAATAAATTTCATAATAATAAACTTATATTTCAATAAAATTACAAAATATATAATAGTAAAATATTACTTACCTTTTGCATATCTGAATATCTTTGCAAAGCATCCTTGAAATCAGTAGTGAGTTTTTCAATTTGCAACTTCTGTTGTTTATCACCTCGCCTCATTAACACTGTCAGTCTTGCAATATCTTTGCTTGTTTGTGTTACTACTTGATTTGTGCTTAATTGTGTGACATGCCTTATAAAAAATAAATAAAGAGAATAAATAAAAACTCAATATAAAATAAAAGAATATATATATTATGTAATGAACTATCTCTTAATATTTATTTTTATTATGTTTATATATAATAAAATAAAATAAAATATAATTTTTTTTTCACTTTAATGAATATTATATATTCTAAGTTACATGATCTTTTATTTTAGATCATATTTCATATTACAATATAACATAAAAATTACTTACACCTTATCTCTTAGACCCTGATTATCTTTATTGGTTCCAACATTTTTATATGCTCGTTCAAGTGTTCTCCAACTTGTATTAATTGTATATATATTAGTTGTAATATTTTCACTGAGACTATAAAGTTCAGTAGGACTAAATCCTACATCAGGTACATCTGTCCGTTGATCTGTGGACCCATATGTTTGAGAACTGTAAGCCATTCTAAAAATAAAAATAAATTGCATTATAATTCCTTTCTAAAAAAAAAAATTAAAATATTTGTGAATTATAAGTATTAATAAAAACATTTTTATCTAATAATCTTTTTACATATAACTAAATGTTTTCATTATATATATATGTAATAAAATCATAAAACTTTTATGACAAATTTATGAAGAACATTGATATGCTATCATATATATGAATCATTATTAAAATTTTAATGACATATATATGTACAGTACATTTTTATATATTGTAATTTATTTAAATTAACATGAAATTAATATAATCTTTTATTTATATAATTTTTATTATACTATTAAATAAATATATATTTCGTGCATTCAAATCACGTATAGAATTTTAATAAAATTCTATATAATAAATTATTATTTTATATTTTTTGTCGATGATAATAAATGCAAAATTTATTAAATTGCATGAAATAATATAATGTAAATATTAAATGAAAATTTTTAAAACTAAAAGTGATACATTAACTCAAGATAATATTATACAATTTTATGTTATATGTCGAATGTTGTAATAAATCAAATTTTAATCGATGTATTAAAACCATTCTGTGTGATTGCATAGAACAGAATAATCATCTAATAGTATATGACGAATATACGGAGAATTAAATTAATGTAAAATAACAATATAAAATATAAATGAAAATAAACATCACGAACTATGCAACAAACCTGAATTATTTTATCACAAATATTCTTAATACCTAAATATAAATTGCTTTATTAATTCACATTTAAAAATCAGAAGAACTATTTTTATGTATCGAATCTTAGAAACTGACAGTTGCTTAAATGATCTAATCCACCGCCCATGTGACAATAGTCTCTTTGTATTTGCAACCGCGAATTTAATAAATTCCTATATTATCGATATTTTTAAGTTCTAATATGATAAATGAAAACAAACATTTTAATTAATATATAATAAAATTATATTTATTCTTTGATAATAAATTATTAATAATACAATATACATTTATCGCATTTTAAATTTTCTTGTAATATTAAAGCAAATAACTATAGTTTAGTATGTCTACAACACCGTCGATACTACTAGATTCAAAATAATATCTCATAAACATTATTATATCTTATTACAATATAAAAAAATGAATTATAAATCTTTAAATTTTTAAATCAATTTTTTATAAAAATCTGTCATTAAATTAAATTAATAAGAAAATTAATTAATAATATAAAATTATTTTTTAACAACTTATAGAAATGTGTCTGAAATGCCGTCTTATATATTACTACCGCTAGAATCAAAAACAAAACTAATAATAAATTTATTTTAATATTTTTTTACATATTTAAAACGACAAAAGTAAAAAAAAAAAATAATAAATTTTTCTATTGAGCAGTTGAAATCATGAAAAAGCTATCTTCCTGTGGAACCAGAGGTTAGTCGCATGGCGGACACTGGCTTGACAAGACATACGGTACGGAAGTTCCCGAGTACGACCGACAGATTGCGAAAGCCTTCAGAAACAACCGTCGGCCGTAAGTAAACGCTATTGTGATTTCTCATCATTTTAATTCCTAAAATTATGCATTTTTGGTTGTATGGTTGCCGCGATAACGAATTTAACGCTAGATTACCACGCCGTATATATTTTCTTTACAAAAGATCTTGCTAAAAATCTTAAAATTTAATAGAATTTTCTCGAGGGTTGCTTTGGAGTCAATATAGCTCGTACATAGGTCGTGCGTCATGTCGGTCCTGAACGCATCTTCCATTTGTCGATTTTTTATCATATTTTATTAATTTCTTTCAAGTATAATTGCAATCTTTTCACTTAATTAATTAATTCTTGTTTTAGTATTAAAAAAAAAGATTGTAATTCATGAGTGGTAATCAAGTGTTGTTTTCGAGCACCTACGCAACTTCTACTTTTGACATTTTAATCGGTGTGACTTTTAGTATAGGTTGTTCTATAGCTTTTTGCATGTTTATTTTATATTTTAAGCACTTTATATTTTAATTTAAAACACATTTTTTCTAATGTTTCCGACATGCATGATTATAATTTTCGATGTTTATAATAATTTTCTTTATATAATGTTGTCTGGCTTCCTTTTGGACAAATTTTGAAATTAGTATATTTCCTCAGTATCGATTGTTGGTTGCTTTTCATTCAGTTGATCAAACTGAATCGTTATTTTAGAAATTGCTATACATATTGCTTACGTCAAACATTTCTTTTTCAAAAAATTATCTGTATCTTATTTTATTTTTAGATTTTACTAATTATTTTTCTGACGATATGTTTTATTCGATTCGATAAATTTTCCATTATTTAAAACATTCATTTTGCAATGGATGTTCGGTAGACTCTTATAAACATACATATATACGAACATGCATATGTATCATCGATCAATGTGCACGCACACGCATAAGCATGCACGAAACTAAGCAGGCGTATACTGTCATGTTTCTGACGTTTTGCTGGAATTTTTATGCAAATATCATTTTAAGTTTTGAATATTTAGTCAAAATATAGAATAGTAAGCTTTTAAGTATATATTAGATTTATTTTATATATATTTTATATACTTAATATTAAATCTGATTCTTTTTAGTACTTTATTTTATCTATTTTTTTACTCATTATTGTCTAATAAAATTAAATTAAAAAATTCAAAATATTAATATTTAGTTTTTGCATTATTAGTTCTTTTGGCAATTATTCTTTATCTATTTTCTTTTACTACAATGTTGAAAAAAATTAATTTTAATAAAAATTGAAACTATTATTTTTTAAAAAACTTAAAAGAAAAAGTTATGATTTTACTATGATTAATGAATAAAGGATTTTATATTACAAGGTATAACTTATATTAAATTAATTTTTAAATGGGACTATTTATTTCGATCTGAAAAACTTTATTATTTTAATTTTTATAATGATATACTAATAGTTTGGAATTTTAACGATTGCAACATTTAATACTTGCAATGTATTACAGTACGCGCACTCATAGCGAACGCATTTACCGTGTGCCTTTAAATGCTCGCCCATATGACTGTTTCTACGTCGGACGTGTGACGACCGTATGTGGCCTCTTTGTTATAGCAGACTTAAACGTTTATCGTACTATGAATAGACGTACTGATTTTCTTTCAGCTGTCCACTTTGTACGACTAATTTGCACTCTGATACGTAATTGTGTCATCTACTAGAAATTTTTTAATTTTTATAAGTATGCACGTATTATTTATGTAGATATAAACGAATAAAAATAATTATCTATTTTCCAAAAAATTGCAATTATATATAACAATAAGATTTTAATTGAATTTGAAAAATGTTTGGGTTGAAATTGAATATGAAATTTATTAAACGATGAAATGAATTACATAAAATTAATTAAATAACATGAATTATCGTTGTATAAAAATTTTTGAGACAAAGAATTTGGATTTCCTTTGTAATGCTATTCCTTTTATAATTATAATCTATAATGTTGGTAGTATTATAATGAATATATTTGTTATCTTTTTTTTTAAAGACATGTTTTGAAATTTTATTGATGAAAGTATTTTCTATAGATTGTTTTAAATATGAAGTGAAAATGTTTATTCAAATTTAAAGCATTTCATTCTCTTTTTTCTACAATTTCTGCTGATCTTGTGCATTATCGGCCTTCAAAAGTTGGCACCCTTGTTCTAACTTGTGGAAAGCAACCGTCACGGCGCATCAGTGACGTGTCATGAGGAAACAGAGTATTGGAGTGTTCAAAGTATTCAAAGAAAGATAGCAACTGTTCATTATACATTTCCTTGTTATCTCTTCGTTTACTGACGACACGTGTCTCTCTTTGTGCATAATTATTTTTTAAGGTCTTGTTTAATATCATTCAGATGATGCATGTTAAAAATATTATATCATTTCTATTCTTAATTCATTTAATCATAATTTTATCAATTTTAATATATTTTAATTTTATTCATATAAAATTATTATATAGTCATTTTTAAAGATATTCAAAGATTAAGATTAAAAGTTTATTAAATTAAAAAATATAAGTTTGAAATTGAGAATTAATTTTGAGAATAATTTTCGAAAGAATGAAATTGTAAAAATATTAAACAAATTTAGATTTTTTTTGTTTTAGCACAATAAATTTGTAAATATATAATTTCAACGCATTTAATTTGATATAAGCTATAACTTTGTTTCAAACAAAATAATATTGCTATAACTGTTTCTCTTGAACTTCCGGTGTCATGATCTCAGAATTCCATGGATATTGGAATGCATTATCTTCGTAATATGTGCATGTTTTATGTAAATTCATAATTTGTAATAAAATCATTTATATTTACAAAATTATTTTGTTTAAAAATTGTTTAAAAAGAAAAAATTAAAATATAAAAATGAAATATTATTATCGATAATTAAATCAAAATTTGATTATATATTTACAAAAGTTTTTTCGAATATAAATATTTCATTTGTCACATGTAATTAAAAAATATTCATGCGATAGATCTTTAAATATATATATTTAAATTTAAATTTGAGCAGATAAATTTAGAGCTGCGAAAAAATTTCAATCGTTATTTTGGTAATTGAACTAGTAGTTACTTTTATAAAACTACTTGTCTGACAACAAAGGTAATATAAGTTTTAAAAAAAACGAGATTGGATACCGGTTTAATGCACTAAAGAAATTTTCAATGCGAAGCATGTTTTAGACGACGACCTTCGTCGTGCAACTTTAAAGCAATTCTTCTTAAGTCATAATGTATGTATGTACGTATTTGACTATGTTTAATTTTCGCTTTTATCAAATGAGAAACTTTGTATTTGTGTTTTCTGAGATTCGTGAATTACGTTATTAAATTAAACTTTCTTAATGTTTATAAAAATTATTCAAAATAACATAAAAAATAAGTATTATATATTTATTTTTTTTATAATATGTTACTATGGTTGAGAATATCAATTTACTCTTAGAATTATTTTAATCAAAAAAAATTTGTATTTATTCTCTATTAAAAAATATTACATTATGTAATATTATTAATAATATTACTAATAAAGTTGAGCATAATATTGAACACTACTTGAATTTTATTTATTGTATAAATTACTATAAATAAATTATAATTATATGATATTATCGTAAATTATTAATTATTAAATTATATATATTAATCAAATATTTACAAATCTAAATTTTCATATTTATATTCGCTAAAATTTCTATTTATAGCGAATATGTAATATATAAAGATGATAAGTATTTCTCGTTGAAGAAAAATACTTGCTTAGATGCTGTTTCGCAGAAAAATAACATCGTATGAAGAGTTGCATAAAATTGATATTGGAATTTTTTTGCTTTCGAGATGAAATCATTCTTTTTCTCAATCCATCACCATGTAATTGAAAACAATGAAGGTTTTTCAGCCACGCACCCTAAATACATGGATTGCTCAGTGGAGACGGTCAAAGACGACCTTAGTCGAAGTTAGGACGAAGTTGTCCGACCTCGCCCGATCAAGCTGACGACAGAAGCCGAGATCGGTCGAGGTGAGGCGAGGAAAGGTTCATTGACCGTCTGACCATGAGCCGCGCCCCACATACAATCCTCTCCACGTTCATCGTCCACGGCTTTTGGTTGTTTTGTTCGTAACCGATACCTCAAGATCAAAGCCGTTTCCCTGGAGAAGGTCCTCGTCCTGTCCGTTGAAGACCTTTACTTGTGAGCGCAATAAGGCTGCACATGTTAATCTGTGCCTCCTATTGTTAAAAATCCGATTATTATAAGATTAATAAGCAATTGATTCTTTTTTAATTATTATATGCAACATATAGAAGAAAAGCAAATTTATTTTATTCTTTTTTTTTTGTTATTCTATTTTTTAATGTCAAGTGGCTCTAAATGTCTGTTCTATAATATTTATTATTAAAAGTGAAATAGTATATATAATACTAAACATGCTTTTGATATTCTTATAATTATTAATTTATTTGTTGGTTATATTTGTTGGTTATATTAAAATTTTTTCCATCTGTTTTACATGATTTTTACATGATTTAATTTGAAAATATGTATTTGGAAACTACGAAGGATTACAACATTATGATATTAAAACATGATTAAAATTTATATTTCTTATTTTTATTTAATATATTTTATATTTTTAGTTCAATTTATTTTTGAAAATAATTTTTTTTATATTTCATGAATATATATTTTACTAATATTTGCAAATTAAGAGAATCTTCATTTAAAATTACTTTTACTGTTATTTTATTTCCATAATTTAATCTTTTTTCTTGACAAATTTTTATAAAAAAATTTAGTTTATGAAATATTAATATAAACAATTTAAAATGATTTTAATAATAGTACTATAAAATTCTCTATGTATCTTTCATATGTAACTCAAATATTTCAATAAATATAAATTAAATTTAATAAATTGAAAAATAATTGATATATTAATGTTGTAAAAGAAGTAAAATTTAATATTTTTTTTTTTGGGCTGCACAATAATTTGTATTCTAAGCATTCTAACTGCATGTGTGTTAATACATCATATTTTTGTATCATTAGGTACAAAAGGCTGCATATTAATAGTCAAACATGGATGGAGTAGCATGCGTGTAAGCAATAAATTATTATTAATATGACTGATATTCTTATTGTAATCTTTTTTTGTTTCAGCTTCCTAAAGGAAGATCTGTGTGCTGTGATTTATCACTTAGGAGGCCAAAACACGCGCAACAACGGACAACCCCACAGGATCGGGGGGTGCTTCTCGTGTCTCGGGAGGAAGGTCAGGGTTTACAAAGTTACCTTGACTGTAACAATCATACACGAGCTGCTTCTTTTTACATCCAATCAATCTTCTGTGCTCATTTTTACTTATAATACACAAATTAAAAAAATTCGATGCCTTCCAGGGACGATATTCGCTCCCTATCCACTGAGCAACGCTGGATCCCTCCTTCAACTCTTAGACGCGATGCACTCACCCCAGAAAGCAGAAATAATTTCATCTTTAGAAAGGTGCGGGGTATTCTTAATAAGCTTACGCCGGAAAAGTTCGCAAAGCTGAGCAACGACCTGCTCAACGTTGAGCTTAATTCTGATGTGATTCTCAAAGGTGTCATTTTTTTGGTAAGTATTTAGCAATATGTACAGTATAAGTAAAAATTTATATTGTTTTTTAAACAAATATAAGAGATAATATTCAAAATTGTTCAATCGAATAAATTTTTGAATAAATTAGTTCAATAATCTTTCAAATATATTTACAATAATAAAGAATACATTTATTATAATTCATTTATTATGTTTTTCTTTTAATTAAAATTTCTTTAACTAATATTATAAGGAAGTAGATAAAATCTATAAATCTTTTATATATAGTGTGTATACACTATATAAATTTAACAATAAGATCTATAATAACATGCAAAAGTCTCAGATCAAAAAGATTTTATATTTTTTCTTTGACACTTATTTATAGTATTTCATGGTTATTTATGATATTTGAACATCATATTATATTTTAATCTATTAATCTTTGTCTTTATTATTTTATTTTACAACAAAATTATTCAAATTAATATTTTATTGTGTTACTACTTACTATTTATAAAAATATAAGTGATCTATTTTTTATATATTTATAAAATATATAAATAAATAAAATTTTTTTTTAATATATTCTACTAATACTAATAAAATATATTGATAATTCAAATATAACAAAAAATATTTAAAAAAAATATAAGTTTATTATTATTTGAACATTTTGTTATGATAAATATTTAAATAATTAATTAATATTAAATAATTTTAATGTAAGTTTCATTTAAACAGGAATATAAATACTTTATTATTAATTTTTATTATATTAATATTATATCGAATTACTATTCTTTTAGATCTTTGAAAAAGCACTTGATGAACCCAAGTACAGTTCTATGTACGCACAGCTGTGCAAACGGCTGTCTGACGAAGCTGCAAACTTTGAACCAAAAAAAGCACTCATTGAAAGTCAAAAAGGCCAAAGCACATTCACAGTTCTTCTTCTTAATAAGTGCAGAGACGAATTTGAAAATCGTTCAAAGGCAAGTGAGGCATTCGAAAATCAGGATGAACTTGGTCCAGAGGAAGAGGAACGCCGACAGGTGGCTAAGCGCAAAATGCTTGGTAACATTAAATTCATCGGAGAATTGGGAAAATTGGGAATCGTATCGGAAACGATCTTACATCGTTGCATCTTGCAATTATTGGAGAAGAAAAGGCGAAGGAGATCCAGGGGGGACACTGCTGAGGATATTGAATGTCTTTGCCAAATCATGCGTACCTGTGGCCGCATCCTTGACTCGGATAAAGGCCGCGGACTCATGGATCAATATTTCAAACGTATGAACTCCTTGGCAGAAAGCAGAGATCTTCCTCTACGCATCAAGTTTATGCTACGTGATGTTATTGAGTTACGCCGTGATGGCTGGGTACCACGTAAGGCTACCAGTACTGAAGGTCCAATGCCCATCAATCAAATCCGCAGTGATAATGAAGAGTCTTCGAGAGGAAATGGCTTCCATAGACGTGAGGATCGTCTCGGAGCTGAATTTTTAAGAAAAATGGGCCGTGGCGGATTAGATATGGATATGATGGGGGGTATACCATTAACTTCTCCATCATTTGGCATGCCATCTCCATTCAGCCCCAATGGATTCTCAGGAACTTCAGGGGTTACTTATGGCCGTCATAGTCAACGTAACCAACCTGGTTACTATCAAAACCAGAATCGTCACCAAAACAATTATCAAGGGAAACACAATCAACAACAACATAATTCACCACAAAACTTTAATAACAGTATGTATTACAATATGTATTAATTTGATTAAATGATAGTTTATTAATATAAATTAAAAATTATTAATATAATAATTTATATTATTAATATAATAATAATATATTTAATTAAAATATTATTAATTTATAATTTTACTAAAATATTTAATTATTAATATATTTAATTTAATTATAGATAGCAATAAAGAACAATTACGCTTCAATAAAAATAAGATGTTGATTGGACATCCAGAAGAAGTATCGCTAAGACCATCAGCTAATTCTATGATGTTTAAACAAACGAATATTAATCCCAATCTACCTCTCAACAGTGGTATGTATTTTAATCAATATGAAATATTATTTAATTTTTTAGAAATTTGTTGGCTAAAATATATATAATATATATAATAATATTTGGCTAAAAAAATATAATAATGATATATCATTCATTTATATTTTTTTAATTAATTAAATAAATAAATAATTTGAATTCTTATGATTAGTACAAATATTTTATGTAAAATAGTATTAATAAAACAATTTTTAATTATTATTTATATTAATAGATCTGTTCCCAGGACGAGCATCAGAAATACCTCTTCTACGTACAAGCACATTAAAACCCAGCTCGCCATTACTGCACAAGGAATTGTCACCAGCAATTGTAATAAAACAAGGTCCCGTAGATAAAAGAGAAAAAGCTCGCGATAGAAAGGATAAAGGAACTTCTAGGGAGGAGATATTGAAGAAGGTGAATTCCTTAATGGATGATCTTGTTTCGCATACGAACATACAAGATGCAATAACAGCTTTTCAAGATCTTAAAATACCTGAACGATTTTTACGACATGCAGTTTATACATTATATTCTAATACGTTAGATCGTGGAGATTCTGACCGTGAACTTGCAGCTAAACTTATAGTTGAATTGGAGAAAGCAGACGTGATTACTGTACAGCAGATACATGAAGGATGGAAAGAACTAGTATCCAATATACCAGAAAAAGAGAGTACTGTGCCTTGTGTAGCTTCTCATGTTGCCTTTTTAACAGCTAAGGCTATTGTGGATAATTTAATTCAATTAACCGATCTTGTTGCTGTGACAGAAAATGGCCAACATCATCCATTATTTTTACTTACACTTCAGCAATTACATAAAAGCCAAGGCAAAGCAAGATTAACACAAATCTTTAATGACAGCAAGGTGAATCTTATCAGTCAGCTACCTGAAGCAGACAAGACGAAAGAAAGACTAGCTGAGATTTTAGAAGACAGAGAATTGACTTTCCTTTATCCACTTCTTAAGATCCAAGGAGATATATGGCGTCAATTAGAATATGACCCAAATCCTAATACTCTTTACAAATGGATCAAAGAAAAACTAGAACCTTCGCATCATTCTGATTCAGAATTTATTAATGCTTTGATGAATGTTCTTCTAAAATACATTACACAGGTTAGTATAAAAATATATTAAAATCGTTATTATATACAAACTATTTATAATTTGTTTTAATATTTTGTTTATAAGAGCATTGTAAATATTAATTACTATTAAAATATTAAATTATTCAATTTATAAATTTTTTTATAAAATTAATCATGAAAATATTAATGAAATAGTACATTTTTAAATGTTTTATTTTTTAAATCTTCATAATATTACTTTTTTATTGTTAATTAAATTTTTGAAAATAATATAAGAATAAGAAATTTCTAATTATTTGTTCAAAAAATTTAAATAAAAATGACATATCATTTAAATAATAAAATTTAATAATTTTTATTTATTTTTTAATAATTGTTTATAGAATCACTTTACATCTGAAGGAAAAAAAAAACAAAAATATGAAAAAAAATCAAATTTAATAATTAAATTTTATAAATTCAATCATTAATGTATATGTTTTAATTATAATTAAATATTAATACTTAAATTATTTATATATTTTATATTTTTACTAGGAAACAATACTGGCACCTGGTGTTGATCCTTCTAGTGTAGGCAAATCAGTAATAGATAAAGAAAAGGCATTATTGGAAAAATATGCTCGTTTAATGCGCTTACTCTTCGTCGATATAGAGTCTCAAGTGACAGCTCTCCATGCACTTCAAGCATTTTGGTTTTCGCACAATTTTCCAAAAGGAATGCTATTGCGATGGTTTGATGGGCTTTACCGATTAGAAGTGATTGAAGAAGACGCTTATTTCAAATGGAAGGAATGTGTTACTGATGCTTATCCAGGCAAGGGTAAAGCATTATTTGAGGTAAATAGAATTTTATTTTATTTTAAAATATTATATATTAAAATTTCATGTAATTCTGAATTAGTAACATGTTTATAAATTAAAAATATACTAAAATTTAATTTTTTATTTTTGATAAATATTTTTTAATAGTACTGACTTCATTATTTTATCACAAATATAAATATATAAATATATTTACATAAAAACTCTGTCTCTTTGTAAAACATATCTATTATATTATATAGAAGTTTTATAATTTATTAATTAATTATAATAATTAATAAGTTATAATAATTAAATAAAAATAGTATATTAATTAATAATAATTAAATGGTGTAGGTAAATAGTTGGTTAACATGGCTAGATAATGCATCCACAGAAGAAGAAAGTGATGACCATAACGATGATGATGACAACAATAAAAACTACAGAATGCAAAAACTGTGAGAAGAATATGTTCTTCCGGCTACCTATAATTTGGAATAGGGTTTTGCTATCTATATTACTGGACCAAGCGGTTTCAGTTTACTAATTGAGTTGTCTCCATCCATTGCCACAAACATCTTGTTAGTCTGTGTCAAGCCCTCGTTCAATGAAGAAGATGAAGACAAAGAAGAAAAGGACTTTACAATAATGTCCAAATAAAAAAAAGAAAGAAAGAAAAAAAATGGAAATATGGAAAATTTGCAACCGCTCGAGTGGTTTGCAACAGACTTTCTAAGCAAGAAGTTTTAGAATGTTTTAGATAATTGAATATTGATATGATTTGTAATCATATTGGGCCAGCAGATATCAACATTCGCCGCTGTATGAACATCGGTGCAGAAGGAAACAAGAAAAAAATTAGTCTGGTGATTTGTGTTGTCAAAGTTTTTGTCTAGTATTGTGCATGTGTCACGTTTTTGTAAGTCTTTTTGTCCGCGGCACCAACGAGTCGCTTGTTATCTCTGTGTACCAGCTTTTACATTTATTATGAGGAATTATTATCTATTATTAATTATTATTATTACTATTATATAATTCATCACAACAGTCGAAATACATCTACTTTTCCTAAAGAAACAAAGAAAATATCCATTAGGAACAGGAAACTGACTCAGTAATATAATATATAAAGCGCGATTAATTAATTCTCTCTAAAACTAAAAAAAAATCAAACAAATGAATTTGTAGATCTTGAAAAACAAAACTGAGTCATATTTATACACACCAATCAACCAAACATCATTTTTGCCCATGTACCTATATTTGCTGCTCCATTTAATTCTACTCTAACTATTCAATAACAACCAGCAGCCAACATCACAATTCACTTTAACGTAACATAAAAAAAAAAATTAGTGACATGACTAAATCGTATTATAAAAATAAACATACCTTGGTGTAATTTATTACAGATGGCCCCCTGGTTGTTCTGTCGATGAACCAACAGCCACCTTACCTTCATTTCCTGCCTGTAGTCTTTCCTAATAGAGTTCTATGCATCGACATACAATCTTTTTTTAATTAGTGCGTAACCTTTAGACCGACACGATGCCATAAGTTCGCCTAAAAGAAAGTTAGTGCAATATCGCAGTTTTTCGTGATCGGTGAAAGAAGAAAGCAGACATTATTGATTTAGAAACAAATCCATGGATTTTTCTTACATATTCTTCATTTCCAATTAGTAGCAATTTTAATTGAATTAATCTTTTTAAACTTCTTCTTGTACGTAATGATTATTATACCGATTAATTGAACATAAGAATTTGGATATATATATATATAAGTGATATATATATATATATATATATATA